GGCTCCGTATGAGGCTTTATATGGTAGGCGATGTCAGTCCCCGGTTGGATGGTTTGAGCCAGGAAAAGCTCGGTTGTTGGGTACGAATCTGGTTCAGGATGCCTTGGACAAAGTCAGGATTATTCAGGATAGGCTTTGTACAGCTCAGTCCAGGCAAAAGAGTTATGCCGACCGCAAGGTTCATGATTTGGCATTCATGGTCAGTGAGCGGGTATTACTTCGAGTGTCGCCTATGAAGGGCGTGATGAGGTTTGGGAAGAAGGGTAAGCTTAGCCCTAGGTTTATTGGCCCATTTGAGATTCTTGATCGAGTGGGAGAGGTGGCTTATAGACTTGCATTGCCGCTGAGCTTATCAATTGTGCATCCAGTGTTTCATGTGTCCATGCTCCAGAAATATCACGGCGATCCATCCCATGTATTAGATTTCAGCACTGTCCAGTTGGACAAGGACTTGTCTTATGAGGAGGAGCCGGTGGCTATTCTAGATTGGCAGGTTTGTCAGCTGAGATCGAAGAAATTTCCTTCTGTTCGTGTTCAGTGGAGAGGTCAGCCACCCGAGGCATCGACCTGGGAGTCCGAGTCCAATATGCGGAGCTGTTATCCCCATCGTTTTCCCGACTCAGGTATTTCCTTCTTATGTCCGTTCGAGGACGAATGGTTGTTTTAGAGGTGGAGAATGTGATGACCCAAAAGGTCATCAATAGTGTTGCAAGTGAATTCAGTGTTCCGAGACCTAAAAAACTCCTTTTACCCCACCTTGATTTACGTGTGTGGTCCGAACCTATATCCGGGAAATCCTTCTATGTGAAAATATGAGAAATAGAAATTCTAAAGTTAAAAACTTGATTATGGTTGACTTTGGTCAACATTTTGAGCAAACGGACTCGGATCTGTGTTCTGACGATCCCGGGAGGTCTGTAGTAAAATATGGGACTTGGGCTTATGCCCGGAAATGAATTCCGATGTCCCAAGCCTTAGAAATTAATTTTTGAAAGAAATTATTTTACTGAATTATCTAAGGAATAAAGAAAAGAATTAATATTTGAAACCATTGTTATCGGGCCCATAGTTTGGTTCCGGAGCCCGGTACAAACTTGTTATAGTATTTGAAAGATAACTATGAAATTTGGTGGAAAACGGAGTTTATTTGACGTGAGTTGGACTTCCGATTGAAGAGTTATGAACGTTGAGAGTTCTTGATGAAAATGTTGAGTTTTGAGGTTTAATTCATGATTTTACATGTTATTTTGATGATGTGATCGCACGAGTAGGTCCATATGATGTTTTTAAGTTAGTATGAACATTTGGTTTGGAGTATCGAGGGCTCGGGTGAGTTTCGGGTAGGTTCTAGGGTGTCTTAGGCTTAAACATGGCTATTGGAGGTTCAAAAAAACTGTAGCTCTCTGAACCTGCTAGTGCGGTCTGCACTAGTTTTGTGTTGTCCGCACTGGTGGCTGTGCGACCACAGTGGATCTTGTGCGGTCCGCACAGGTTCACTGGTGATTGTGCAGCCGCAGTTGATTTTGTGCGATCTGCATAGTGAATCTGAGAGGCTGTGCGGTCGCAGTTGATTTTGTGAGGTCCGCGCAGGGAGTTTGAGAGGAGTATATTTAGACGAGATTTTCAGTTATTTTTCATTTTTCAAAACCCCAAAAACATAAGAGGCGATTTTTCAAACAACCTTTCTTCCCCAAAACGTTGGTAAGTGATTTATAACTCATTTTTTTCACTCCTTAACATCTTTTAACATGATTTTAACTCAAAATCAATGATTTTCATGGGGAAATTCGGTGTTTCGGGTAGAACCTAGGTTTCTTCAAAACTGGGGGTTTGGACCTCGATTTGAGGTCCGATTTCAAAACAAATTATACATTTGAGTTCTTGGGAGAATGGGTAAACGGGTTTTGGTTTGAACCTCGGGTTTTTACCATGTGGGCCCGGGGCGATTATTTGACTTTTTGGATAAAACTTTGGAGAATTCATTTTCATGCATTCAAATTGATTCATTTAGCATTTATTGATGTAATTAAGTAACTTGTTACGAGCGAATTGGTGGTGGAATCAAGGAGTAAAGCTATAAATGAACCGTGAACTGTGTTCGTGGCATCGAGGTAAGTGTTTGGTCTAACCTTAGCTTGAGGGATTAGGAGTTGAGTCTTGCTTGCTCTGTGGTAATTGTTGAGTACGACGTATAGGCATGGTGACGAGTATCTATACGTTGGTGACTAGCATGCACGTGAGTCTTTATATTGTGATTATCATGACTTTGTTGTATCTTTCATGCCTTGGTGATGGTTTCTAATTGTTGTGTAAAGTTTGTGGAAAAAATTGTGACCAATGAACATTGAGGAGCGTTGGCTCAGGTTGTATAATGAATTGTGAAGGTATAAGTGACCATTGAACTTTTAGAGCATTAGCTCGAGTTGTGAAATGAATTGTGAAGGTATAAGTGATAATTGAACCTCTAGAGCATTGGCTCGAGTTGTGAAGTGAATTGTGAAGTAAAAGTGAGTATTAGAAGAGGTCATTATGTTGTCGCCCTTGCCAGGCTATTGTTGATTTATTTGTTATCTCCCTTGCCGGGATGTGGATGTTATTGATATTGTTGCTTTGTCGGGATTTAATTGTTGACTTGTTGCTCCCTTGCCGGGATTCTTATTGCAATTTTTCTTTATTTCCTTGCCCTGTTATTTGTGATTGTTGTTTGGGTGAGAAAGAGAGTTAAATTACGAAGGGTGATTCCGTGCATTGTTTGTTTTGTGAGGAAAGAGTGTAAAGCACGACGGGTGATGCCGTGTATTATTGTAAGGAAAGAGTGTAAAGCATGAAGGGTGATGTCGTGCTGCACGATGTACCATTCTGTGATGATTTTATTGGTTATATGGTGAGGAGAGAGTAAAAGTACGAAGGGTGATGCCGTGTACATTTTTATTATATGATTTCTTTGGTCAAACGAGAGTAAAAGCATGAAGGGTGATGTCGTGCATTTGTTGATTTCTGATTCTTTGTTGATATCCGAGTTATATTGTTTCTTTCATTACTTGATGTCTTTTTATTCGGAATTGTTATCTCCCCCACAGCGTGCTTCCCCTCCCATATTGACTGGTTAGTTCTGTATTTCTTTCCGTTGTATATGTATTTGAATTTCACAGGTTATTTGGTAGTCTAGTCCTAGCCTCGTCACTACTTCGCCGAGGTTAGGCTAGACACTTACCAGCACATGGGGTCGGTTGTACTGATATTACACTCTGTACTATGTGCAGATTCCGGAGCAGCTTTTGGACCGTAGTGTGGAGGTTATCTTCAGTCCACGTGGAGATCCAAGGTAGACCTGCAGGCGTCCGCAAGCCCCGACGTCTCCCTTTATCCCTACTTTCCTGTTTCATTTGCCTTACATTCAGAAACAGTGTATTATTATTTCTTCAAACTTTGTATGTAGTAAATCTTAGACCGTCTGTGACACTGTGGCACCAGGTTTTGGGTGGTTGAGACTTAAATAATTGTAATTGACGCAGATTTTAGATGTTTAATTATTATCGTCCGCTTAATTATTTAAAGTTCCGCATTTTTTCATGTTATCGCCTTATATTTGTTAAAAAGAAGTAATTTAGTAATGAAGTAAGTAGTTAAGGATTGGCTTGCCTAGATCTCATTAGTAGTCGCCATCACGACTTCCGAGGGTGGGAAATCCGGGTCGTGACACTTTACTTTTCTTTTTTTTTTTTATTTTCTTTCCCTATTCTAGAAGCTGGTCAACATGCAAGCCAAAACAAACAGATTAGCAAGTAGCACGTAAGATACATCAGGACGATCTTTTAATTTGGGTACACCTGTCCTAGACGGACCCAACCCCTGTGTTGAGTCTCCAAAGCCAAATGCACGTGATGCAAACAAACGTACCTACTAGGGACCCGGCATGAGGCTATGTTATTCTAGGTTTAAAAACATGGGTGTATTGTTCTAAACCTGGCTTACCCGAGCGGACAGCTCGAGCCGAGGGGGTCAGCGTACCGGGAATACAGAAGCTTCACTGGCTTTGCAACTTGTCCGAACCTCGTTTTAAAATTGGGATATGACTCTAATATAAAAGAAGTCGCACGAAGTGCACACTTGCCAGATGATTTAGAAGACTCAGAGAGAGGAGGGTTTTGTAGCAATTTATATACAATCCAAATAATATCAAAGCGGTAAAAAGCGACAATTAGCACATTAGGATCAAACATGTAAAAATCAGATAATGAATAAAGCCAAATATAGCAACTATTCTAAGCTCGAATTCTTGAAGCCTGAACCAAAAGTTCTGGGTTATAATCCCCAACGGAGTCGCCAGAGCTGTCACACCAATTACCAAGTTAGCAACCACAAAGATGCTCTGTTTGCCACAAGCAGATTCAAACTCCAAAAAATGAGCAAATTACATCGCTGAATCGACTCCGCTTGTGTCAAAGACCAAATTTCACCAAACAAGAAAAGAAATTTTTCATTATTCAGAATACCTTAGTTAACTGCAACAGTACACAAGATTGATTAACAACAACACTCCGCTTGTGTCAAAGACCACATATTTCTCACATTCCAATTCTCATATGCTAAAGGGTCCAACTCAGTCCATTATAAACTAACTTTGATCAAGATGGATCATGTAGCTCAAATAAAAAAAAACTTGACACTTAGTTACTTACAAAAAGGAATTGATAATTAAACAAAACCATAGGGCAAATCCCTAAAGTCCCTCCCACTGTATACCATATTTTAAGCCAAAAATTCTGGTAGCATACTAGACAAACCAATAATCCGGTTCCAGAACCATCTTAAAAATGACAACTTGAAAATATAAATCTTTAATCTATTTAGCTATAAAATCAAATCATGATACACTACAATGACAGGAACTGCTGAATGTAACAAGGATATAAATAATTATACAATGCCTCATCATTGTAAGCATATTTTTATTGAATCAAAAGGAGAATTACAAGAACGAGAATGGGAGACAGTACCTTAGCGGCAGTAATACAGTCCCAAATAACCAAGTAAGGATAGCGATGAAGATGAATAGAACTTTACAAATCGGGAATAGCGAGTTCAGCAACACACGGTCCATTCACAGCTTCATACGAGCCCAGAGAAAGAAGGAAGTCGAATTTTAACATTTCACCGACCAAACTCCCTTTCAGATCTTCTTTGAAATTCGATTTTTCTATTGATTTTGGTCTCCAAGCTTGTCAGGTCTTTGTTTCCATTTCCTTAGTTAACTGCAACAGTACACAAGATTGATTAACAACAACACTCCGCTTGTGTCAAAGACCACATGTTTCTCACATTCCAATTCTCATATGCTAAAGGGTCCAACTCAGTCCATTATAAACTAACTTTGATCAAGATGGATCATGTAGCTCAAATAAAAAAAAACTTGACACTTAGTTACTTACAAAAAGGAATTGATAATTAAACAAAACCATAGGGCAAATCCCTAAAGTCCCTCCCACTGTATACCATATTTTAAGCCAAAAATTCTGGTAGCATACTAGACAAACTAATAATCCGGTTCCAGAACCATCTTAAAAATGACAACTTGAAAATATAGATATTTAATCTATTTAGCTATAAAATCAAATCATGATACACTACAATGACAGGAACTGCTGAATGTAACAAGGATATAAATAATTATACAATGCCTCATCATTGTAAGCATATTTTCATTGAATCAAAAGGAGAATTACAAGAACGAGAATGGGAAACAGTACCTTAGCGGCAGTAATACAGTCCCAAATAACCAAGTAAGGATAGCGATGAAGATGATTAGAACTTTACAAATCGGGAATAGCGAGTTCAGCAACACACAGTCCATTCACAGCTTCATACGAGCCCAGAGAAAGAAGGAAGTCGAATTTTAACATTTCACCGACCAAACTCCCTTTCAGATCTTCTTTGAAATTCGATTTTTCTATTGCTTTTGGTCTCCAAGCTTGTCAGGTCTTTATTTTCATTTCTCCAAGGTTAGAGATGAGATAAAAAAAATAATTGAAGAGAAAGGGAGAGCTGATGAATGTCGGATTTCCGGCGATTTGGTGGCTATGAGGAAGTGATGGATGAAGAAGGGGAGTTAAGTAGCGTGTGCTGAAGGATTTGGTGGTGAGGAGGTTAAAGCCATGGCTGTTGGTTTGGAGAGGAGATGGAGGGGTCTCCTAAAGCCTGTGAAGAAGAAGACGCTTCAAGGGGGGGGNCAGTTTAATAAGAAAGGATTCGGGTCTTGGGTCGGTTCGGGTCGGGCAAGTCTTTTTTTGGGCTTTGAGTGGTTTGGGCTAGATTTTGGGTATAAGAACAACCAAAATTTGAATTAAAACCCCATCTTTCAAATTCTCTTCTTATTTTCCTTTTTCTCTTTGTTTTTCTTTTTCTTTTCTTTAATTAAAAATCTTAGATTATCTAAAAATGTGAAATTAAACTACTTAACTAATTATAAAAATTATAAAAGCTACTTAATCCTAAATTAAAAGAGAAAATGAAGCATTTTTTGTGATTTTCAATTTTTATAAAACAAGTAACTACCAATTAATCCTAAAAATGTAAAAATAAGGCCTAAATGCCATGCGTGACATTTTGGTATTTTTCATGATTTAAATAAAACTTAAACATGCACAAAATGCAAACAATTAAATAAAACTCTACAAAAATTCCTAAAATGTCAAATAATTAACAAAAATCTATTTTTTGGGATTTTATCGTATAGGGCAAAAATCACGTGCTCACAGTGATTATGCCACTTGGCATTACTATATTCTTCTGCTTCTTCTTTTATATATAGATATATACTCTCGTGGGAATTTTACTAATCAAAGTTTTTCCACCCTCTATTTTTTTGTTTTTTTCAGGAACCAAAATTAACTGCTAACGAACCATTTGACGGTACTCAAAGCCATTCTCACGTTAAATCATCATGTTAATTAACCAAGTTCTTCTTGAATTTTTACCTATTTGATGTGAGATTTTCGTACATATTATTTTGTTGTTGGAACTAGCTGACTACATTTTTACTCATTTTTGTATCCTATGTGGTCGAATTATGCTTCACCAATAATTGTAATGCTAGCCCCTTTAGTGGTCCGAAATTTCTTCACAATCTAGATATTTCAAAAGTTGAAGTTTGAAAAAATTGCAGAAGTACAGCTAGTAGAGAATCTAGCTACATGCTCCAATATTCTGCAAAATAGGTGGCATGTGCAAATTTTACAAATCAATTTTTGCCTCCAAATAAGAATTAACTCCAAAATACAATCAAATCATATTGATGTGAAGTTTGGGGTATAAGATACATAAACTCAGGATAAGATTGGTGTTACATTGTACAAACTACAAAGATTCACTTTAATGGTTGTTGTGGAAAACATTAACAAGTAATCATATTAACTGTAGACAAATTGAACTAAAGGAATAGTGTGATCCATATAAGTAGAAGCACGACCACTATCTATTTGTTCTAGAAAACATTGATAATTGTTTATCCCAAAAAAAGGGATTGTTTTTGCATTATATAAAGCTAAATATGTTTTACATAAATAATTGGAGTCCGTTACTCAAATGATCATTTAACTATTTTAAATTATCTAATTAAGTCATATTTTTTTGATTTGTAACAGAAAAGTCACTTAACATTTCTATAACACCAGAAGGTAACTCAACTGAATTTCTATTTTTTAATATTGTATGTTTTTCTCTGTTTACGTTAGACGTCTTTTAATTATTTTTTTTCTTCAACAAAGTCAAATTGACTAGTACTAAGCAAAAATATTGTCACAAATTACAGGTTTAATACTTGTCACATGTTAATTTGCTAACAGTATTACGTCAAAGAATCAAGTGCAAAACTGATTGATGAGAGACACGTGTCATGTTTAGGATTCAAATAAAACAATAAAGGTTCCAGAACTAGCATGGCTGCTTTGGGATAGGCTTGCCTTCAACGAAACCTAGAGAGTGATTGCATATTCTCATGACTTCTAGGTAATCAGAAATGAAGAGAATTTGCTCCAACAGTATAAAGGAATTAACTTGATATGACAATGTCTTTCACCAGTACCAATTATCAAGCCAATTAAATAATTGGCAGTGGTTATTTTGGATGTATGATTAGGGTATTTTGGAATAAGCTGTTTTGGTGTAAAGATGCAATTTATTTCTCCTATATATACTTTTAACACAAGCTAGCGCATAATGGGAATCATTGAAATTTGTGGATTACTTTTGGACTAAAGATATCTCGTTTGAGATTTAAAAACGTATACATGGTTTACTCATTTTTGACACCAAAGCGGAAATATTAAAACCATTGAAGAAACAAATGTCAGAGGATAAACAACAGTATAAAAGAGTCCGGCGATTTGCAGCCGTACCTTATATTTGTGTCACCTTTTAATCTGTATCATATTTTTAAAAATTATTGATTTGATAGCCAGCTGACAAAAAATACGTAATAATATGACCATTATACCCCTGACAAAACATATAAGATGCATCATGCATAAATCATTTTACCGTTCTCCTCCATCACTCTGTCCCTCCTTAGATGTCCTCTCACATCTGCCATAATCACGAAACCAGAAAGTTGAACCATATTCAAATTCCGAATTCAAAATTAGAAAATACATTGTAAGTATTGCAACTCATACTGATTGATCTTCATTATATATTTTTTTGCAATTATTTTCATAATTCATCATACTTTTCAAGTTCTAATTCAATCAACGTATAGATTTTTTCACTTATGCTAATTAGATCACACTTGCATAAACATGAAGTTTTCACTGATAGATCTTCAGAAACTTTGCATGAAAGATATAGAATACAGTTGTTTCACGTTGAATTCTAAAGTTTTAATCAAATACAAGCTAAAATTTCATGCTACCGTACCAAAAAAAATTTCACGTTAAACCTAATTTAACGTGAAGTTGTTGTATGCTCAAGCTAACAATTCTTGTTAATGTATACTGTTGAATGCATGACAAACATGTTAACATTTTGTCCTGCATTCAACAGTTTTGTCACGAGGACAAAACATGTTAAAGTTTTTAGGACAAACATGCTAAATCTTCAGGATAAACACGCTAAAGTTTTTATCCTGTATTAAGTAATTTTATAATGAATTTTTGCTAATGTATGCTGAAGTTATTAGTTCATTTGCTAAAACTTCATACTAAACAAGTTGAAGTTTTTACATGATTTGCTAAAACTTCACACTAAAATTGTTGAAGTATTTGTCTTGCAGTCTAAACAAGCTGAAGTTTTTTAGTTGATTTTCTAAGACTTCAGCACTAAAATGCTGAAGGTTTTGTCTTGCATTATTTTAATTTTCAGTGAATTTTTGCTAATGCATGCTAAAGTTATTTAGTTTATTTGCTAAAACTTCACACTAAAATTGTTGAAGTATTTGTCTTGCAGTCTAAACAAGCTGAAGTTTTTTAGTTGATTTTCTAAGACTTCAGCACTAAAATGCTGAAGGTTTTGTCTTGCATTATTTTAATTTTCAGTGAATTTTTGCTAATGCATGCTAAAGTTATTTAGTTTATTTGCTAAAACTTCATACTAAACAAGCTGATATTTTTACATAATTTGGTAAAACTTCACACCAAAATGAGTTTTTTCCAGAACTTCCATAAAAATGATGAAGTTACTTAGTTCAATTTCAAAACTTCAGGGCAAACGTGCTGAAGTTTCCTCCTACAGTATGTAATTTTCTAATGAATTTTATTTAATACATGCTAAAGTTATTTAGTTCATTTGCGAAAAGTTCGTACCAAAACATGCTTAAGTTTTGTCCTGCATTAAACAGTTTTTTCATGAGCTTTGTTTCGAAAACTTCACTATAAATAATTTTTATTCTGCAGGATGAGTTCGATTTGCCTTGTTATTACCTTCAGTGGGAGTTGGACTTTACAAATACTTGGATCACGATACAAAACTTGTTCTATTTAGTAAATAAGTATCATTCAATACTTTCCTGAATAAAATTAGTGAAGTTACAGATATTGATTCAACCAGATATTCACTAAAAATATGGTTTGATATCAAACTATAAACAAGCAAAGGGATGCTTATAACTTCAGATGAAGAACTCAGCACCTGTATACAGTTGCTAACAACTGATTTAGCCTTCAAGAATAGCCATTTTGTCCTCGAAAAAATACAACTCATTTCTGATAGTATAGTTGCTTCAGAATCTGCAACATTCAAACCATCTCTTGCACATACAATAGATTCAGAACAATTTGCTGATTATAAACATGAACTAGAACAGCCAATAATGGAATTAGACAACGAGCAACAACCTTCTAACATTACAGTTGCTTCAGAATATGGAATGCTGCAATAATTACCTGCCACTACAATAAATTCATACCAATTTATTGAAGATCAAGAAGAAGAAGGACAGATAATAATGCAAATATACAACCAACACACGATCCAACAAAGTTTTTTGTTACCTTTCTACAATGATAAGCAATAACGAAGATGAAGAAAATACAGAATTTATATCGATAATATCAGATACTATAACGATCTGCCCGGTTGTTTCATGAGTTATTGCTCTGTTTCCCCCATTTCTGCTTTCTTATGCATTGTTTAGACACATTTCACCGTATCGTGTTGGTTGGTTTGGGCTTGGAGTAGCTTTGGAGTGTTATGAGACACTTAGTCTCTTAAGTTGGCCATTTAGTTGGAAAAGTCAACCGGAAGTTGACTTGTGAGTAACCGATCTTGAAATTTGATTTTTATGGTTTGGATAGCTTCGTTAGGTGATTTGGGACTTAGGAGCGTGTTCGAAATGTAATTTGGAGGTCCGTGGTAGATTTAGGCTTGAATTGGCGAAATTGAGAATTTGGCGTTTTCTGGTCGGCAGTGGAAATCTTGATATAGAGGTCAGAATGGAATTTAGGAAATTGGAGTAAGTTAGTAGTGTCATTTGTGACGTGTGTGCAAAATTTCAAATCATTCAGAGTTGATTTGATAGGTTTCGGCATCGTTTGTAGAATTTGAAAGTTTCTAAGTTCTTAGGCTTGAATCCGAGGTTGATTTGGTGTTTTAGTATTGTTTTGAGTGATTCGAAGGCTCAGCTAAATTTGAATGATGTTATGGGATATGTTGGCATGTTTCGTTGAGGTTCCGAGGGCCTCGGGTGAGTTTTGGGAGGTTATCAGACAAAATTCTTGGTTTTGAGAGTTG